GGTCAGTTTCAGCAGCGGCTGAATCTGGACGCCAGTTCCGACTTACATACAGATTCAACTTAAGAACAAACCTACAGTCCCTATCTTGTACGTAACCCAGGGACTGCCTGTATTTTCACTTTAATTTTCTGCTGACACACGGAAGTGTTTGAAAATAATAAAATTTGTCAAAACATTTTTCATGATAAACTCCTACACATGGAGTATTTACAAGGCACTAACATAATTCCATATCTGACTGGTACATTAACTGCCAGCAAAAGAGTCTCTGATGGCTAATATGCTGTAGGAACTAGCTGCCCGCGGCCAAAATATCCCCTTTTACTGGTATGCCATCATCAGCTGTGTGAGTCTATCTGCTATCTTCCACCCCAGAAGAGGCTACATTTCAGTGATAGAGTGGCTCTCATACACATATATAGGAACAAATAAGGATTCTCTCAGCCCCTTTCTTCCAACATCTGAAGAAGACATCATGGCTCTATAATACATAAAGGCTCTATGGATGTGGGCAAAACAAGTGAACCGTGGCTTGCCCAGTAACCCAGTCAACTGTGCAAAATGAGAGCACCATGGCCAGACCTGTCCTGTACCTGAGCAGTGAGAAACCACTTTGGATGCAACAGATGCTACAGAAACATATAAATTATATTTATATATTTTAAGGATAATAAGTTCAGCTCCTCAGCCCCTGAAATGGGACAAATTGCAATTTCCCAGCCCTGACTTGGGACACAAGCTCTGGAAAAGGCTGTTTGAACCCTTTATTACCGACTTGTATTCACAGCTTTACTGACTTTTTTGGGAGGCGAGGGGGTCTGAAGATATAAAAAAAAAAGAAACCAAAAATCCAACAGGGTAAGGCTCCTGCTCTCTCTGCCTCAATGACGCTTGCTAATTAAAACACAAAGCAGCCAGGGCCGCAGAATTAATGGACATGGCTTCCTCTTTTCAAGTCTCGCCCGCTGACAGATCGCCTCATTCTTCCCCTATTCTTGAACCTTTCAAAAAAAATATAGCTTGCTTATCTTAGTGTGGGGTTGCCGTGGAAACTGCATCCCCGTGCGAGATGCTCTGTCATAACATTTCAGCACTGCTGGGAAACACAAAGCAGCCAGGGCCGCAGAATTAATGGACATGGCTTCCTCTTTTCAAGTCTCGCCCGCTGACAGATCGCCTCATTCTTCCCCTATTCTTGAACCTTTCAAAAAAAATATAGCTTGCTTATCTTAGTGTGGGGTTGCCGTGGAAACTGCATCCCCGTGCGAGATGCTCTGTCATAACATTTCAGCACTGCTGGGAAGGCTTAAAGACACAGCATCCTCCACTCTGGGGGCCTCAGAGCCAGCCAGAGTCTTTGCAGATGGGCAGTTGTCAAAGTCACAGAGAAAAA